ATGTAAGGAATTTGGACAGAAGGCAGAGTGGTAACCCACTGATGAGTGATAAGCATAATGAGATTGGTGATTTCTGAGTGAGGAGTAGAGGAGAAAATAATCTGTAGGGGAAAACTCCATCTACGTTGAAACTATACAGATTGGTTAGTGTCTGAGAAATGATAATTTAGCCATTCATTTATAAGTAAGTGTTGTTTTTCCCACTAGCAGACCGAGTTCATTTAAAGGAAAAGTTTAGTTGTATATACTAATTTAGATGCTGTATGTTAGTTTAATTAGTTTCTTTTCCAGGGATATTATTTATACTAACACATATTACTTAACTCATAATTACATTATTAATTCTGTTTGATGGGATTTTATCTTTGCCCAAATTGTACTATGTGATAGTCCTGTCTTTTTTTATTGTATCATTTTTAAAATAAGCTTACTTATTTTAAGCTTATCATATAGTAGGAATGATCTTAATGATACAGTTATTTGGAATAGTTTGTCATTGGCTTTCATAAATTTTATAATTAGAAGGTTTTAATTATTTTAGCTGTTTAAATGTAGCATCAGTTTTGCAATATTGCAAATCAAATTTTAGAATAAATTGTATTATATATGTATCTATATCTATTCAGAATATGAATATATATGCATTTTGATTTTTATAAGTTCATTTTAAAAGCTTGGAGAAATACAGATAACAACAATCTAATGCCTTATACAAATATAAGCATTTCTTCCTCCTGTGAATATATTGATGTTTACTTATTTGTATACTATTTATCCCCCACTACGCATTATGTCATGAATGCTTTGTTCATATTGCCTGAATTTTAATAGCACAATACTGTTCTACTGAATGGATATATAATAACCATTCCCAGTTTTATCTGCTGCATTGATGAAAATCTTTCTATATAAATCAAATGTTCAATCAAAAGTTAAGAACTTGGGCCTCCCCGGTGGCTCAGCTGTTGAGCGCTGGGTTGCAAAGCTGCCCACAGCCTCTGCAGTGCCGGTTTGATCCCTGGCTGCTCCCCGGCCACTGGAGGAGGGTCCCACATGGCGCGCAGACCTCTCCTGCCGCCCGCTGCTCCCCTCAGCAGTGTACTTCGGTCCTTCTGCCTGCTCTGCTGCCCGCTTTGGCTCTGGTGAATTCTCTCACCCTCCCGTGCTTCTGACTGTACCCAGTGCTTGTATAAATAAATAAATAAATCTTAAAAAAAAAAAGTTAAGAACTTAAAAAATTAGACATTATGACATTGCTTTCTAGAAATATTATGCCAGTTTATATGCTAATATCAGTTATATGCTAATATTAGTTTTTAAAACATTTCCTATTTTTTAAAAAGATGTATTTATTTATACAAGAACTGAGGTGCAGGCCAGAGGTGCCGGAGGGTGAGAGAATTCACCAGAGACAGAGTGGGGAGCAGAACAGGCAGACTGAATGAAAACACTGCTGAGGGGAGCAGTGGGTGAGGCAGGGGAGGTCTGCTGCGCCATGTGGGTATCTTCCTAGCCAGCCAGGAATTGAACCTGCGCTGCAGAGGCTGCAGACAGCTTCACTGAGCTGCGCTCAACCTCCTACACCACCGGGGAGGCCCAAAAACATTTCCTATTTTTATAAGCAAAAATGATCTTAATTTTACTTCTTTCATTTTAAGTGAAGTCCTTTAAATTATTTCTAAAACAACTATTAAAGGATTTTTAAAAGAATGCTTTATGCCTGTTCTTATAAAGTAAAAGATATTTTAACTAGAATTAATATTTTATTATAATTTTTCTTTTTAATAGATTAAATATTTACATAGTTATTACAGAAAAATATAGAATGCAGAGACCTATACATTTGTCCCCAAAGGCAACTGCTGTTATCAGTTTCTTATGTATACTTCCAGAGATATTGTAGATTGTGTGTGTGTGTGTTCAAAACATTATTGAAAAACATAATTCAAAACATTAGGTGAATTATGGAGAACATTCATTATAATACTGTCCAGGTTAGATATGGTATTGTGTACTAAATTGTGTACTGAAAATTAGAAAGGGTCTAAAAATGATTAGTATCTGGCTACTGGCCCAGAAGGAAGAAAAGCAGGATCTGGCAGCATTTGGCAGTAATTTTCTATAAGACAAGTGGCCTTAGCTCTTTTTATTATTGGATTGATTCTTTGACAATGGCACTTCTGTTTATAGTACTGATTCTCTAGTACTGTTCCAGAAAGGAAAGCCAAGTTTTAAAAAATTAGGCATCAGATACCTGAAAGAAACTCTTTGAAGTATAAAAGCTATTTGGAAGTGTTTAGGAGAACATTTAGGAGAAAGATACTTTATTTTAGGTATTCTAGGATTTATTTGCTTGACAGTTGCAGTTAGTAAAATTTTCATGACTTTGTTGCTTGCTGATGAAAGTTTGAGTCTGAATAGTTACAAATAGTCTACGGCCATACCACCCTGAACGTGCCCGATCTCGTCTGAATAATTACAAATAAAATTTGTTAATTTCCTAAGTTTGCATTTATCTAATTCAAAAACTGGTTAGCCATGACATCAACATTTTATTTTTTTTCAATTTCAGGAGTTATTTATGTAAATCTATAATTTAAGCTAATTGAAGTAATACATGTGCAATTCATTAATCTTTTTCTTTTTTTAATGAAAAAATGATAAATTTATTCTCCCCCAGCATTCTTTTTTTTTTATTTTAACATTTATCATTTTTTACATTTTTTAGACAATATTTGCTTCCCCCCACCCTCTCTGATTGAGTCCCCATAGAATCTCCTTCCCCAAGGCACCCATGCACCATCACCACAGTCCCTGTGCTCCTCCCTCTCTCCCTCGCATCCCTCTCCTGCCTCCTCCTCTGCAGTGTGTCTCTGGTTTATAGTTGTCTGTTTTTGCTTTGTTGTGTTTTGTACTGTTATTATTATTATTTTTTTACACCAATGTCTTATTTGGTTCCCCTATATTCCTGTTATAAGTGAAACCATTCAATATTTTTCTTTTTCCTTCTGCCTTATTTCACTGAGCATAATTCCTTCTAGCTCTATCCACGTTGCTGTAAATGGCATAAGTTTATCTTTTTTGATTGCTGAGTAATATTCCATTGTGTATATATACCATGCAAATGGCCAACAGGCATATGAAAAAATCTTCAGCATCCCTTATAATCAGGGAAATGCAAATCAAAACCACACTGAGATACCACCTTACACCAGTAAGAATGGCACATATCAAAAAAACAAGCAACAACAAATGTTGGCGAGGATGCGGCTAAAAAGGACATTGCTGGTGGGAGTGCAAACTGGTCCAACCACTTTGCAAAGCTGTCTGGAGGTTCCCCAGTCTACTAAAAATGGAGCTACCATATGATCCGGCAGTTCCACTCCTAGGGATCTACCCAAAGGACACAAAAACTGATTCAGATGACCGCCTGTACCCCTATGTTTATTGTAGCACTATTTACAATAGGTAAAACCTGGAAACAATCCAAATGCCCAAAAATAGAAGACTGGATCAAGACATCAACATTTTAAATAAATATGCTAAAAAAAGATTTTTATGCGGATAATTTAGTAGTGGTTTGTCTCATACAAATTGACTTGAATGCCATTGCTTAATAAGTGGTTTGAGCAGTAAAAGTCAGAGGTTTTTCATTGTATCCTACAGAGCTTAAATGTTTTAGGGGAAAGATATTTGCTTTTAGGAGAGTTTTTTTTTTTTAAGGCTCTTATTTCCAAAAATAAAATATGGGATGACTATTATTTACCAAATACTAACTGTGTGGCCCAGGATAAATTATGTGGGAGTATTATGAGAGTTCCTGTGTGCTGGCATTCATGTCTCCCATTCCAGATTAATTATAATACTGTAAAGCCTGTTGAAAAGCCTGTATCTAATAGTGGTTGGGAATATTTAAGGCATTTTAAGAAAGAATTGATCAGAGATGGGAAAAGATCACCTTGAATTTTTTAAATGCTTGTTTTTGAGATAGATAAATATTTTATAGGAGAATCGTAAAGATAGTACAGAGTATTCCCATGTATCTTTCAGTGAGCCTCCCTTCATGTTAACATCTTATGTAACTATGGTACATTTATCAAAACTAAGAAATTCATCCTGATTATTTAAAAAGAAAATTCAACAACCCTGTTTCAAAATACCAACTTTGTGCAAAAAAGTGTTTTAACTGCTCATATATGCATAATATTGGTGGATCATAATTAAATGATGAACTTGGTATCATTCTGAACAGATTCTTGGATTATTGAACACATACATTGTTGTACGCTAACAAAAAGACAGGATCACTAGGAGCCAGCATACGTTCACAGAGTGCAAATCATGCCACACTAACCTCACTACTTTTCTTAAGGTGTAAATAAACCAGTAGACACATCAGGAGACTCTTTGGTGGTAACATTATCTAAAATTATAGTTACATTTAATGGATTTTTAATTTTGTGCTGAACGCTGGGTTAAATGCTTTACATAGATTGCTTTATTTAGTCCTCTTTTCCAGATTAGGAAAAGGGATCCCCAAGGTTATATAGATAGCATTTGACCACCTTTTATGATATCTTTGTAGACAAGATAGAGAAAGATAGTCTGAATAATGACATAGATAGGTGATTTGTAATTGATTGAAATATCCAAAGGTGATGATTCATGGACTGATAAAATTAAACTGCAGTTCATTCCTTGTGGTGTCTTAAGATGATGTCTTTCCCTGTGTCCTATTAAAGATGTTTATCAGTTACTCTCAAAATTGTGAGAGAGTGCTAGTAGGTTATGAAGCAAGAATTCCCATCCTCCAGTCCCCCTTATTTTTAATAATTATAACAGCAGATTGTAAGGGGATATTTGTTATAAAAATTTTATATTTGATGTGTATCTATTTGATAGGGATAAACCAAGTCTTGTAATTGACTTTTTTTTTAAATCTGCACAAATACAGTCTTGGAGACTAAATGAGATTTTTTGTTTTTGTTTTTTTTAAACAGGTGTGTGCCCGACTGTGTCATGGTATTTATCTGAAGTGGGTGAGTCAATGGTTTATTGTAATTGCCCAGAAGCTAAATAACACTTGACATAACCATTATTTTGAAGCATGTTCTCCAAAGCACAGCTGATTATCCTTTTCTACTCTGCATTTAGCTTAGTGTTCTCAGTTCTGCATACTACATTTTAAGGAACATGTTGATAAGCAATGTATTCAGAGAGTAGTCAGAATGATGCAGTGTCTTGAAACAGATAACTTGCAAAATAATTGAAACATTTGAAATTTTCAGGATTGAACAAAGAGGATTTTAGTGGTATATGTGGGAATGCCTGTCAAATTGGGTAATTGCATGATCTTAAATATTTTTCCTGGCTCAGATCTGTGTTTCTGTAAAACAGGTGAAGGCAATAGCATACAAACATATTTTTTGCATCACTGGTTGCCACCAGGAACAATGATTAGAAATATTGGTTCTAGAGAAAAGAAAATATTGGTTCATAATGAAGATTGTATTGTTTTGTTTTTGTTTTTAACGAAACAGTAACAGTCAGCATTCTGTCATTAAAGCATGTATTAAGTAGAGTTTACTCAGACTATCCTCTAAGGACTTTTCTAACTTCAACCTTTTTATTATTTATTTTTATTTATTTATGCATACAAGAACTGGGGTGTAGGCCAGAGGTCCTGGGGTTGTGAGGATTCATCAGAGAAAGAGTGGGCACAGAACAGGTGGATTTACTGAGATACACTGCTGAGAGGAGCAGCAGCGAGACAGGAGAGGTCTGCTGTGCCATATGTGGGTCAGCTCCCTGCTCAGGGATTGAACTCAGCTGCAGTGACTCACTATAGCTTGATAGCACTGAGACTTTAACCCCTGTGCCACTAGAGAGGCCCTAACTTCAACCTTTTTTCATGTCTCCTTTGGTTATAATTCCCCATAGCAAAACTTTCTCTTTAGTATCTCACTTAATCTCAACATTTGATGGTTTCATGTAGTATCACATGCTAGTAGGGAAAGCTATATTTGATTATCATTCTCTGAAGTTTAAATGAAGTAAATGAGTTTTTAGAAATGTTTATTTAGATGCTCCAGGGGTGCAATCTGTTAACTCAAGGTACTTATACAGAAATTTTTATTTATAATTCCATAGAAACAACATTTTAGTAAAGGCTCATTTTAGAAATGTAAAACACTGTTCGAAGTTGCTCTTAGGTATGGTGGCATAAGTAACACCAAAATTGAAATACTTCTGTTTATCTTTTCTGTATTTCTAGAAAAATAATATTAGTATTAACTGAAATCAAAGTTAATTTCTAAATGACTCGGTTATTTAAATTCAAAATGAAATATTTAAGCAGTTATATCCACTGTCCCTTGAATAAACCAGGAATATTTTGTGGTGGGGAATTTCCTAAGAATACCCCTTCTCCTTTTCTTTTAATTCATTTAAAGTCTAATCTTCTGGACTTTTCCTCAGGGCTCTTTCTTAAAATGATCTTCAGGTCCCTCTACCCAGCACAGGTAGTTTTCTTTCTTTACTACTGTTTTGCTGTTGTATTAGCACTATATTATATGATGTTATGGATTGTTTCCTGATTGCTTTATATATGTAAACTTAAAAAAATTGAGGACTCCTTGATTGGGGCTTAAAAGCTATTTTGAATGAAATTAAAGTTCAGAGACTTAGCAGAAATGGGGGAAGTTTATGCAGAATTCCCATTTCCATTTGTTTGCTTACTATTTTTTCTTCAATATATCTTATTTTTGTTTTCAATATATTAGAAAGTTTTTAAATTATAGTAATATGTCCATTTAAAAATTGAAAAATGGGCCTCCCCTGGTGGTGTAGCGGTTGAGCGCTGGGCTGCGAGGCTGCCCTCAGCCTCTGTGGCGCCAATTTGTTCCCCGGCTGCCGTTGAGAGTCCCACAAAACAAAAAAACAAAAAAAAAATTTGAAAAACAGGGCCTCTCTGTGGCCAAGGGGTTGAGCGCAGCGCCGTCAAGCTATCCACAGCCTCTGCAGTGCAAGTTCGATCCCCGGCCAGGGAGCTACCCACATGGTGCTGCAGACCTCTCCTGACTCACCCGCTGCTCCCCTCAGCAGTGTACTTCTGTCTATTTGCCTGTTCTATTCCCCACTTTGTATCTGGTGAATCCTCACACCTCTGGCCTGTACCCCAGTTCTTGTAATCATAAATAAATCTTTAAATAAAAAATGAAAAGTAAAAACCTGATTCTCACATTTTTAACACTACTATTTCCAAATGTTTGATGTTTCCCTTTAGTTGCTTTTCCTATCCATTTGCCAGTTTTCTTTGACATTAGCATTCAAAGGTAGCAGGTAATTTTAAAATACTTACTTCACAGTGCAATTTCTCATAGGAAATAAAGAAAATCAAGAGATACATCCTAGTTAGTATACTTACTGGGTGAGTGGTATACTTTTTATGCTTTCCATACTAATATAAACACAAAAAAGGTTAATGAAACGTTTTAAAATGCCTACTCAAGAAATGTCTGTAACAGTGTTTAATTGAGCCACAGATGAAATGTGTTTATAGCTATCACCTTCATTTTCTGTATTCTCTCTCTCTATATAAAATCTTTGTCTTATCAAATTATTGTTCTAGACTTAGCACATAAGGGAATGTCACACAGCCGTAAAAGAATCATCTCTAAGACATACTGGGTGAGAGAAGTGAATTGTTAGACGGTGTTTTCAGGTTGCTGACTTTACTGTAAGATAGTAATTTGTATGTATATGGATGCAAATGCATGTGAATGAGCACACATTAATAAACACATTTATGCTTCTATATGCATAGGATTTTCTGGAAGGATACATAAGCAAGGGAAAAGTAGTTGCTTCTGGAGAGAGGCTAGGAATCAGATTGGAAGTCTGAGATCACAGTAAGGCTTTGGTTTGATTGTGTACACTTTTACACTGCTTAATTTTCTTTTTTGGCCGAGATTATATTGTAAAAAAATTTTTTGAGATAGTTTTAGATGCACAGAAAGTTCCAGTATTAGTGCAGAGACGTCCCATGTACCCTTCATCCAACTCCTCCCACCCGTAACATTTTACATAACGGTAGGACAGTGTGGAGACGAGGAAAATGTTGGTACAATCCACAGAGCTTTAGATTTTACCAATTTTACATGTACTCATTTGTGTTTGTATAATTCTTTGCAGTTTTATCACATGTATATTTGAGTAATCTCTACATAATTGAGATACAGAACTGTTTCATCATAAAAAAAAAAAAATCCCTGTGCGATTATGTTCAGTGAAATAAGTCAGAAGGAAAAAGAAAAATATCAGATGGATTCACTTTCAGGAGGAATAGAGGGGATCCAAATAGGGGATCAGGAAAAAATAATAATAAATAAAAAACAAAATTAACGGGCAACTATAAATCAGACATTCTGCATGGGAGGGGGAGGGAGAGGGATCAAAACAGGGGAGGGAGGAGCACTAGGGACTATGGTGATGGTGCACGGGTGAATTGGTGGTGGGAATTTTATGGGGACTACACCCGAGAGGAGAAAGCAAATATTGTACAAAAATGAACAATGATGTAAAATACATAAAAATAAATTTAATAATACAAAAAATCCCTGTGCTATCCCTTTGTAGTTACACCTGTCCCCCCTAATCTCTGGCAATCACTAGTCTGCTCTTTATCCCTCTATTTTATCTTTTCCGGAAGTTATGTAAATGGAACCATACAGTTTGTAACCTTTGAGACTGGCTTTTGCTGTCAGTGTAATTTCCCTTGGCATCCTTCCAAGTTGTTGGATGTATCAGTAGTTCCTTTTTTTTTTTTTTTTTTTAATGTCTGAGCAATATTCTATGGTATGGATATACCAGAGTTTGGTTAATCTTTACCCATTGATGGGCAGTGTTAATGAAGGTAACTTTTGGGAGATACTTATGTATGGGGTCTGGTTGCCAGGGAAACCAGCTATGTGATGAAAGGACTGAAACTTGTTCTACTCTCCTGACCTCTGAGGAGATGAGAGGGTCTGAGGTTGAATTAATTTCCAACTGTTGGGGTTCAATGAGTAGGGTTCCTAGGTCCCTCTGGGAAAGATTTCAGCAGTTTCCCAGCGGCACATGGCTATTTTATTAAGGAAAAAGACATTTTCATAGACACAAACAGGCAAAGACTGCATTTTGAAAGTGCAGATTTTAAAAAGAGGTACCTGCATAGACGCAGGTAGGCAGTCTTAGGACAAAATCTACATTTTGCCAGAGCAAGGGATCTTCTTATATCATGTTCCTTTGGGGGATTCATTTCTTTGTGAAAATTTACCACTTTAAGGTCAGGTCGGGTTGGTTCTGTGTAACAGATAACCTTTTATGACCCCACTTCAGGTTCCTGGAAACTTCCATAGGCAGTTTAAGGACTCATTAATCATCCCTACCCTCATCTCTGGTTTTTGACCTTCCTCAATTTTTCTACTTAAACTTCCATCACAAGGGGCATAAGTTAATCAGTCATGCCTATATAATGAAGGTGTTAGTGTGCAGACTGAGGGGTACCCTGTGACCCCCAAACTTGCACACTTTAAATGGGTTCTGCCATTTAGCATGAAAGAACTTTAATAGGATATTGTGCATAGGGAGAGAAGAGAAGAAAGGATAATAGTTTCTCAATAAAACAGTGAAAGTTAGCCATCCCCTTATGCGTAAAATGCCCAGCCAAACAGGGTTGGCCCAGAGTGGGCTCATTAAGGCCCAAAAACTTTCCACCAGTCTAAGGCACATTCTAGGAGGGAACTATAGAAAAGGGGCAGTAGGGGACAGGCAAGTCTGGGACAATAGGAGCAAAATCAAAGCCTCCCATGGCTCTTTCACCCATGTCTTTTCCATGTGTCTCCACATGACTTGACCTCATGAGTTTCCTTCCATGTCTCTCAAGTCCCTGGTGCTAAACCCAAAGCTGAGAAGGCAAGTGCAACCTCTTCACATTCTCTCTGCCTCATGGGCCTCCTCTAAGTCTTCTTTGGCTTTCCCTCCCTGCTCAAGTCATTAG